CACACAAACGCACTAATGTCTGCTCGGGAGGCTGCCGGCATCATCACAAAGCCCCAAAGCTCAGGAAAGAGTCCGCTCTATAGCCACCAGCCTCCGGTCGCGTTGCACTGTCCGCTTCTTGCTGTGGAAACAAACCACTGTACTGTAGCCAAGGTTACTGATGGGGCAAATCGATAATGTTTTATAATAATAAAAAAAAAAAAAGAAAGAAAAAAAAACATTTTTTCAGCAACAGCTGGATCGCCTCGAAACAGCAAACATGTGGGACAGTGAGACGCAAGTCAAAGGGGACGTTTTGACAAAAAAGAAAAATAAAGTGCTTCCAATATTTGCACAAATTACCTGCATCACCTTAACATTAGCTTATCCGTCTCATCCTTAAATCTGGTTTTAAGAGAATGTCAATATGGTGCGCTCTGCAATAAAACGATGCAGCAAATCAGAAGCACAGGCAGGTTTGGGTTCCAAAGCAGATATTTGTTTTGTTTGATTTGCTCAACAGCATGTTTCACAACCTACATCCCTCTGCTGGATTTTGAAGAGCCATCCATTGATTTAAGTCCATGCAGTACGCAAGAGAAACACATCAAGTTTGGCAACGTTATTGATTAAAAACAAGCTGTTGAAAGATGCAGCAATTTGAAGTAAAAAGACGGAGGAAAACGTTTGGACAATTGACTGATTACATGACGTTTCCAGACACGTTCGTTTGCCTGCTGTAGCTGTTGTTTTAGCTTTAGGTCGACTTCCAGGTAAGAAAATAAATAAATAAAAATATGCCGCTCCCTTGGGAGCTTTTAGGCAGCAATTACAAAACGACCCCCCCGCAGAGCAATCAGAAACATTCAAATCAACCACCAGCAGAAAGTCTTAAATGAATATTTTATACAATTCTAGTAAGATATTTTCCTGTGAAATAAAATCACAGGAGCACAACTGTGAAAGGAAATTATGTTCTCACTTTTATAGGTTTTATATTTAAATAAAGATTTTTCAAAGATGTTAAACTACTTCTATATTTTAAACTTTTCAAGATCAATTTTATTTTAAACCTATCAAGATCTAAATCAATAAAGAACGTAAAAAAAAACAAAAAAAAAACGTTTTTTTTTTTTTAAGCACAGGCAGGCAACTCCAGTACTTGCCTCCGTAGGTTCATTAACTTTAACCCCTTCTGTCAGTATATTTTATTCGTACTGTTTTTGATGGCAGGTTTTACCCAACCAATTAAAACAATTATACTTTTAAGTCAAACCCAGTTAAATATGCACAAATGGTAATGAATGCCGTAATGAATTAAACTATAATAAGCCTCCTTCGGCAGGAGAAATATAAGACAACAGTAAAAATGTCATTCAAGACCTCTTAGGACCCATTAGAGCTGAAATTTTCAGATTTTTTTTTTTGAAAGCAATAATTTAGACTCTTTAAAGCCCCACAGCACCCATATATTACGGAGTGAATCTCACAATAAATGTCTTTTAGCAATTAATCTAAATTATGCTTATTGTCTAAACTAGAAATTCATCAATAAGAGATTGGAAAGCCTTTATCTGCAAGTGAAATACTGGAAAAAAAAAAAAGATTTTCTATTCCTTAATTACATAAAAGCAAAGATTTTGCACCATTTCCAGTTCATAAAAAAATATATCAATTAAAAGCATGCACTCTGATGTACCCAAAAACACCTGATAAAGTTTAGGAACATATTTTCTCATGCATAAACTCACTAGGACTTATATTGCAACCCCTTCCGTTTCATTTTGGAGTCATAAGAAGCATCCTGTTAAGGAAACTGCAGTACAAATCAGCAGGTCAAACTTTAAAGAAAATTTGAGATCAGCATGAGTAAAAAAAAAAAAAAGCATAATCAGTGCACCTCTTTACGCTGTTATTATTGGACGATAATCTCATGTAGGAACCTGCAGATGAAGGGCAGTTATCGTTTTCATTTAAAAGCTATGGTGAATTTGATCTATCCCAAAAACTGACACCATGATTGAGTGCGTTACTTTAACTAGGCACTTGTTGGAACTCTGAGAACATCAAGACAAAATGCACATGATTAAATGAAGTTAGTGTGATACGTTTAGCCACACTGTATTCTTTTAGATAGTCAAATTATTTTTTAGAGCAGCATTAGATGGTGTGTTTGGTGTAAATGTAGTGACAGATTTTGTAACTTAAAACAAAACGGGATGAATTTGCAAATACAATTTATTACTTTTGCTAAAAGTCTGCAGCGATATAGTTGTCTGAATACTGCATCAGCATCTTTTCTACCCCCTTTTCGTTTCTTTTCTTTCTCCTATGTATTAAAGACATTACTTAAAATGTCAGCTGTGCATTAAATTCTTAATGACGCTTGATTGTAAGCTCACTTTTTGTTCATTAAAAGATAACTTTACATAGTGTGTACATGTCTGCATTGTAAACAGTTTTGTCTAAATTAGGAAAATTATTAAAAGGGAGATTATTTGAAATATATTAGGTAGATTTGTCGTCAAAATAACAAAAAGCCTCCTCGTGACCACGAGGCTTTATCTCGGCTTTATCTTAGAAGTTAATGATCTTTCAAGTCCCAACAGTGACGCTCAAAGTATCACTGAACCGCTGAGAAACACAAAGGAGTTTTTTTTTTTTTTTTTTCTGCCTTCACAAATTGAGGGAATCTGGGATTCAAGAAGCGGATCCCAGTAATTCAAGATAAACCAGTTCACGTGCGATTCAGCTATATTGAGCAAGAAAGAAGAAACAATGAAACAAACCTGACAGACTTCTCCGCTCTTCTGGCTGTGAAGTAATAGTGAAATGGTCAGAGCTCACTCAGCTGGTATCATTCTTTAAAGTTGCGCCTACTTTCGAGTCGAGCGTACGGTGCTTTAAAAAAAAAAAAAAAAAAAAAAAAAAAATTCTCAGCCAACGCTTATCTCTTCACGAAAAAGCCGCTTCTCCAGAGCTCGACGACTCCACACGGACTTCCAATTTCCAGCTCAGTTACACACATCTAGCCGAAGAGCTAGCCTGCTAGCTGCTGAAATAAACACTTGGCTTTGTGGGGGCTCTTAACTCTTCAATTTCCGGATCTTTTTCCGAGTGGACGTAAAGGTCCCTCTTCACAGGGGGCGGCAGCTGATGTGTCGTGCGTAAACGTTGATTTCTGTCCCCCTTTTAATAGTCCTCTTTGTGCTCACACAATTTTTTCTTTTCTCCTTCTCTCAGACAGCCGCTCACTCCTCTTCAACACACCACAATGGGTTCTGTGCCGACTCTTTTCAACACAAGCATCCCTTACTCGTTACGACGTCCGACGTCGCTTTGCGGCAGTGGTTGCTTAGCGACATTTTTAATACATGTTGTCGAGTCTGGAACGCCGCCTTCCTGTGCATAATTTCTCCCTTTTTATTATTCTCATTGTATTGAGAACTCTAAGATTAAGCGAAATTAACTCTTATTTTGGGTTTATTTATGAATATTTTACAAAAGAGCTCAGGCTTCATGTGTGTAAGGTGCAAGATGCTGTAAGGATCCATGCATGGATGTTGGATAGTTTAACAAGAAACATTAAATAAAAATTTTAAAGTGGTCATAAAATAAAAAGTGAAATGACAAATTGACATTTTTTCATAGTCAGGTATCAAATTGTACGATTATCATACAATTATAGATGAGGCGCTCTTTGTTCATTCATATTCACCACAAATATGATTGTGGTGTTAAAGAGTTTAAACTCTTGAACTGCAAATTCTTAATGGATTTAGACAAGGATGAAGAAAAAAAAATGTATCAGTTATTGCATTTGGAGCCAAATCGAAACTACTCACCCCCATGTGTATGGGCAGTGACGTCACTGGAGTACATATTTGCACAAATACAAGTGTAGTGGGTGGATATAAGTAGGCTACGTTTTGTTTCTCTTTTGTATCTATTAATTCCAGGTTGTATTTTTGTACTAAAATACAATATTTTGTATTTTGGGATGCTATATATATATATATATATATAATTTATCGTGACCATCCCGTTCCACAATCACTAAGAACGAAATGAGTAATGCAATTACTGGATTTTCTTATCAAAACCCACAATAAATAAATAAATAAATAAATAAATAAATAAATAAATAAACAAACATTGCTCTGTGATTTTAGTTGTAATATAGTTATTAAAGTGAAATTCAAGGTTATTTAACAAATTTGATGTTTATTAAACAATGTTTAGTACAATAAAATCTTAAAATCTCAAAGATAAGGGAAAATGTTTTTCAGTAGTGGTTCATCGCGGGGAAAGTACAACTGTCTCAACTTCTACGGATTATGAATGAATTTGTGAATATGACCTAATACATTTCCCCCCACAAAAGCAACTTTTAGCTCTAGACACGTTTACTCTACAGCGTCAATGAGCAGCTAGATTTTACTGAAATGTTGAAGGCGCTGCCTGCATTAGTTTGTCTACTGCGCCACCTGGTGGCAGATGAAAAACTTTACTCATAACTTTAGATATTTTCAAATGCCGAATAAGTATCCCCTGCAATCATACAAGCCAAAAATAAATAAATAAAAATAAAACTCAAAGCATTAAGTCGTTTACCAGCAAATACGGAAAATCACAGTTCTACAAAAAAGATACAAATAAAATGCAATAATAAAAAGCCTGTAGTTTACTATACAAGAAGCTAATATAAAGTCAAGAAGTTATATTAAGAATTGCACAAAAAAAAGATCACATGGAAGGCCAGTTAGTGGCAAAGGAAGTAGTTAGACAATAAAGATAAATGACAAATTAAAAAAGCTAATTCTTCGATTTAAAAAAAAAAATCCACACTGTCAGTTATCCTTTAGTTTTTATGTTCATTTTCAGAGTCTAAAGATATATTTAACCTTGCTCGTTTTTAAGTAATTACATACTAAGATAAATATCAGCTAAGACTTCCTTCCCTTATAAGTTTATCATTAGTCCGTGACGAGAAAACACGAATTTCCGAGTTATCTGAAAGGCGTCACGCACGCTGCAGATGCGGATGTTGCAGTGGCGTCTTTCCGAAGTGTCACAGTTAACTCAGAAGAGGAAAAGTTTGACCCAAACACCGTGAAGATGCCAAACACCGCGAGGGGCCGACAAGATAGTGCGGCACTGTTTGTTCTCTCCGCAGTATGTTTAGCCTTAATAACAATTATCAGCGTTTGGAAATTAAAGCAATTCAAATACAGACTCATTAATGAAGCTGGAGGTGCAATGTTTTACGGTAAGTAACCCCAGACCCAGCTCTTACAGGGTAAATCGCGGAAGCTGCTGCTCAGCAACACTTCCTGGACTCAGTTCAATTAATGTGTCACAATGTTTGTTCCAGAAAAGTTAGGACATTACAGGTGCATCTTAGTAAATTAGAATATCATTGAAAAGTACATTTATTCCATTAAATTAATACAACTAAATACAATTAATCATAGACATAGTCGCATGATTGGGGTTTATTTTAATCGATTGTTGCTTACATCTAAGCAACAATTAAAGGAAAAAAGCCTGTTTCTCAGAAAATGTTAATTTTCCTTAAGGTCAACTAGAATAAAAGAATACAGATATGCTACATAGGATCATGTTATGGACTTTCCATTCTTGCTCCATTGACCTCAGGGAAATAAAATTGACTAATTGACAGCAAGGATGTGCAATGAACCACAAACTTGTAAAGGACATTTGGACAGGAAAATATAATTGAATTATGTAAATCCAATGAATTGGTGCTCTGTAGGCCAGTAATACATTTTGTGATGCCCCTGCTAAAGCAGCAGAAACTGTTTTATGGGGACATTAAGATGTTTCAGTAAAGAGATTAAGAAACTGCATTGCCAAGCAATTTAGTTTTTCATCAGCCAGATGAAAAGTTCTGTTCTGTTACTCCCTACTCAGGTCTGTGTTCACAATAAACTGAAAGCTGAAAAGAGTATTTGTTCAAGTCATATCATCATTACTGCATTCACCACTATTATCGCATGATTTTCTTTTACTGCTGAGCCCTAAGCTGCAACAAGCGTAAGGCAAAATTGGAAAGATAATAATCAGCCATTATGCTTTATTTGCATTTAATAGATTATTATTATTATTATTATTATTATTATTTGATTGACCTTGATTACATTTCGCAAGCATTTTTTTTTGTGAATCTTTTGCAGGTGTCTTTCTGGGTTTAGCCATCAGGTACTTGTGGGTGGACCGAGAGGAGCATTCGGAGAACATGGGCAGCGTTTGTTCTTGCCACGGTCTAAACAGCACCCCTCACGTCATAATGGTCAACATCTCATCCCACGGGCACTGTTACAGACTTATTGAAAAGAAGGGCCAAAGATGCTCACAGCTCCCAAGTCCTCACACGGTAACTATGGCAATTTAGTTTGACCTTCACCGGAGATTAAAGCAAATCTTTTACACGGATAAGCTTTTGTATGTTGTGTGATTAGTGCAACTTGAAGCGGTGTGTCCTACAAACCCACTGGCTTTGAAAAGACGTTTAATTAGCATCGGGGCAGGAATGTTTGAAGCGTTCTGGATGCACCCCAAGCATTTGCATCAACAGGATCCTCTAATGGCTTCTGGTTATTAGTTTTCCGGATCGTTTTCATGGTCCGTTTGTTATTAGAAAAGTACGGTAGCGCATATAAAGAAAGGAAGGCAGCTATTTAATTCATATTAGGGATTATTAGGGGACAAATACGGAAGGTTGCTTTTTTTTTTTCCATGTGTCGTATAAGGACACTCAAGTGAAGCAGATTATTTTCGTTCTTAGGTTAATGTATGTAGCAACAACAAACTCAAACTCTTTGAATGCATAATTTAACCTGCTTGAAGAAAAATGTCTACTCAGGACAATTTCCCAGTTTGTTGTCTACATGCTGAATTCCCATAATAAGATACTCTGGCGAGGGGATATTGGTGGCAGATTGCACTGCACTGCAGAAAAGAGAGGAAAGTGTCTGAGCAGACACTGCAGGTTTTCTCCTCTTAAATAGACACCTCACACTTCAACCTGTGGCACAGAGCACAGTAATGGATGTAGATAGCTCCCATCCTTTTTAAAATGACAGGCTCTATTATAACACAGACACTAAAGCATACAGTGATGTGTACAGTTTATGGTAATTGTAGCCTTGAAGAGATTTATGGCTGATGAAGACTTAGAGAGGTGGAAATGGGGGTAATTAATTTCATTTATAAAGGCTGCAGCGAGATCATTATTCCTAAGAGATTGAAGATTTTATGTAGGAATATGCTCCGTCATTGTTTTCTTATCAACTCCATTGGAGAAATAGTGTTTAAAATGCTGATCAGAAAGTTTTAGTCTATGTAGACACATTTCCTCATGCTACATCTTAAGCCTGTATTTTTACACAAACCTGACGTGGAAGTCAAAACATATAGGCAGACGTTTTCTTGAAATTGCAGCTTAATCACTGTAACATGCTTACAAATCAAATGCAATACTAATGCATTTGATTATCATTTCGCTGAGATGGTATTGAAAAACACAGAAAATGCTTGCTATATAGACTAATTGCACACGGAGTGATTTATTTCATGAATTTATTTCTGTAAAGTTTTTGGCCTACATCTAATGTATAATAATTATAAGCTTTATATAAAAGTTATAATGTAACCATTTGATGTGCTGTACCAGATTATAGCATAAGCTAATGAAAATTATGTTTGATTAAAAAAAAAATGTCATATTAAGTTATGGCCTTCCCGAACACGTGGAAGTCTGCTTTCACAAGGTGTAGTAATGAAAAGTTAAGTGGATGGAAAAACGTTTGGTAGATAAAAAGAGCACAAGCACCAGGGACAAAAACAGCCATGAGGACATTTTTACAGTTAAGTCTATGTAAGAGTTTTGGGGGAGAATAGATGTGAACTGTGGTGGAATGAGTGCTTCAGCAGTAACAACACACAGATGTGTCCATATTCCTTGTTAAACCCGAGATAACATCAGAAGCAAATCTCTACTCTGGAGTGGGCTTATCCTGTTCCCCATAGTTTCTGGCTCTCAAATGTTTGCTTTTCAACAGCTGAATGGTGCTGACCTACCTTCCAGTACTTGTAATCAATATTTTCTTGGCGCAAATAGCGTAGGATAAATTATGTTGAATAAAAACGTGGGGAAAAAAAAAAAAAAGAATTTACAATAATTAACAGTAAAACCGTGTGGCAAACAATCAGAATGTATCCTTGAGTGATTAAAACTACAGTATAGAAAAAAACAACATCAATATACCAGCATCTGAGATTATATTTTAGTGATTTGATGGGAGAAATGTGTCGTACGAAAAGGCCAGGTAAGTTATTTTCTGCACTTCACAGAAAATAACTGAAGTTATTTTCAGCAAGCATGAATGTGGAGTGTGTTTAGAAATTTGTTGATGAAGCTTAGGGGGGATGTTTTAAACCAGGAAGTGACCAGCAGTGGACCTTACAAATCATGCAGGCCAAGTGTAACTCTTCTCTAATGGCTTCGACTCCTTGGCCCGTTAAGAAAGCCAAGGTCTCATTAGTAAACCAGCAGAGGCTACCATAGAGGCCATTACATCAGTCAGACCGTGTGTAGACTTTGAGCCATTACGCCTGATACATATGGGGAGCTAGCAGAGAGAGATAAGGATTTCATTGCATTACTGAGTCCATTATGTGCCACTGGGGAGAATAGCATTAAAGTTTGTGGTCTGATTAAATTTAGCACTGCTGAGCTGAGAAGACAATTAGTGTACACAGCACACCTCCATCTTCAACGTAGTGGTGCAGGTGGCCCTTAGAATATAGCTGCCAAGATATGCATAATTTACTCGCTACAGTGGCCATATTGGTTTGTGTCGTGCTTATTTGTGTTTATCTTATATTTTAAAAATTCATGGATGCTGTTCTTTGTTGGTAATTGCAGCCACACAAAAGTAATTTATAGAGTGCTGGGATATGGCTGCAGAGCAATTTGTAGATCTAGTTACCTCTTTAAATGCAGAATTACTCAGAGAGCATGCTGGCTCGCTGGTTTCTATAATGGACTTTCCAACATTGGATGTGTTCTGTAATTTTATGAAACATGCAGCTAATTTACCTCTGGTAAATATTCATTAGAGTACGAGGATGTCCTAGATCAAAAACATTAGCAGAGGCTTTCATCTATCCACTTCTTTGATGCTCTTTAGGCTGTTATTTTAGTTAGTTTAAGGTCAGTTTTTGATTCTCGCCAAACCTCAACATTTGGACAGAACATGTGACTATTCCAAGTCTTTTTTTTTTTTTTCCTTAATAGTATATATTTTTAAATAATACCAGAAGGTCGCTGCAGTTTTTTTTTTCTTTACAAATCTACCCACAATACAAATTAAAATCATCCAAGGGTGAAATTGTACATGGAATCCTGCCTTACAGATTGGCTGGCATTGCATCTCATTGGCTGAGATGAGAAGCATTCAGAGAGGATATAAATACAGAAATGTCTCACAGTATGGCTACCGTTTGTGTTGAAGGTAATTCGCAGCATGGATTTTATTGCTAATTTATGGCACAGCTCAGCTTTAATGGTGGTACTTTCTTATTTGTATATGTTCTAGAAGCTTCTTGGATACAGACAGCTGTAATTTTCATTTTGCATTGTGCTTTTCATTAATCATATAACCTCAAGACACATTGGCAGTGTGCTAAATCAGTACACTGTCATAAAATCAGTAAGTGCAGGAGAGCTTTGAGGCAGCTAATACCATCAATTCCAGCTTTCAGCAACTATGTCAGTACATACTGGCACTCTAATCAAAGTATCTTATGTTCCCCATTTTTTCTGACAACACCTCATATATTTCTGATATGTTTTTATTTATTAGAATTGATTACAACCTTCTAATTCAAGCAAAACAAACAAAAAAAACTGTCAGTGCTTCAAATCATACAGAGAACCTGCTTCTAATGTAAACTTTACATTTATTAAAACTTTGCTTCATTTCCCCTTTAAAAGTAATTCAACAAAGAGCATTTGTCTATGATATATCTGCATGCCTTTATGCGAAGTTAGCAAATAAAACTGTTAAGACTGATTTATCATTTCATTTACAAAGAATCAATCTTTCTTACCTTTGAGTGGTCGTTAGCACAGTAAAAGAAACACAGAGATCTCTGTACATCCCTTAAGATTCAGATTTTATTCAAAATCAATGCAACAAAAACAACACTTCGATTAAGCATGTGTTTTTAAATACAACTGAATCAATCATCCAATAAATGAAGCGACTCTCTTTTCAGGCTATGCTTGATCCGCAAATCCTGTTCGACCTTTTCCTGCCACCCATCATCTTCTTTGGGGCTTACACCCTGAATCAGGTGAGACGGCTGCGTTTGATGACCACTGGACCACCAGATAAAAAAACAAAACAAAATAAAATTGTATTTCGTGCTGCATCATTTATGGATGTGTTGATAACGGATGTTGAATGTTTCATGTTTTACTGACTGCATCTGCCTTTTGATTCGTGGTCTAGAGGCGATTCGTGAAGAATCTGGGCTCTATTGTGACCTATGCTTTTCTGGGCACCATAATCAGCTCCTTGTGCATAGGGTAAGTGTTCTGTTCATTCACACTGATCAATACCACGCAACAAACACTCCAGAATGTGTATCTCATTTTCTATGTACCTTATGTTTTAATCTATTTATGTCTATGTGTAGACACAACCATGTCATATATGCAGGAACTAGGCTTTCTCTATGTGCTCATTATCCACTGTGTTGCTGTTGAAGGACAGAATTCAAAGTTTGAACAGCATGACGGCACATCGTGCTGTCCACTGCTACACCAAAAACACAAAAGTAATACTGTAATATTAACATAAAGCAGATAAATGTGAGTACATTTTCTGAGGTCACTTCATGAGTCTACAGATCTACTGTAAATGGGAATGAAAATGCTTTCCAGTGTACAACAGTGAAATCATTTTGTGTGCGAGACTTGAGCATATTCATTATTTACTAATGTAAGTCGTACACAATATTTTACAATAAGCAATAATAAACCAATGTACAAAGGTTTAATATACTACGGTAAAAATTATATGCTTAGGAATACAACATGGAAATAAGAAGAAACTAAATTTAATTCATTTTTAGTTAATACTGCAATTTATTTGTCAGTCCAAGTAAGAGTCATTATTATCACATTTTGCTGGTGTGACCATCAGTTTTGCATCTCTGTATAAAGTTCCTCCTTGCTTCATTGTGCACAGTGTTGGCAAACCAAGAATGGCACAGGTGCAGCAAATAATATTAATTATGTCCTGGAAGCGCCCCAATCATCTGGTTTCAGTGCGTCAATGTTCCTGTGGTAGCTGCACCATGGAACTGATGGACTGAGCTGTCATTAATCGCACCTGTGTAACTTAACAAGTGATGAATTACAATGTCTGCAAATGCTCTTAGTGTGCTGAACTGTGCTAAAGATGTTTAAAGGTCTTGGAACCATCTGACTCTGCTAGTGGAGCCAGAATATATTGATTTTTTATTTTTTATTTTTTTTAAATCAGCTCCTGTGCTGATGCATAGTGTTGCAATTCTGTCCTGAAAGCACTAGATGGCAGTCTCTGACTTTGTTAGATATCTAGACCCCTGTTAGCTAAATGACTACAGTCACAGATAATGTTAACCATCCTGTAACATCTGTTTGAAGTTTTTTTTCTTTCTTTTTTTTTTGGAGGGTTTTGACTTTAGGATTAACTTTTTTAGTGAAAGCATTTGGTCTTCAGTAGAATAAAATCCAGTGCTTGCTCTTATGATACGCTAAATATTTCATAGGTTCCGCGTCAAGAGATCATTCTGAATTCCAATCACAAAAAAAATGGTAATTTCCGTATGCTAGTTGCTTTATCTAGCTATTGATTAAGACATTGTGCTCCCCAGCACAACTATTAGACATGTTGGCAAACTTATACTTATGCTTCACTAGCTCCAGACATTTCCATGCAAGGCAAATCTCAGCTTACTACCTCCAGTATGCATTAGATAGACTTCAAGATTGTGCAAATATGGAAATAAAATAATGAAACATGGAAATGAATCATTCTAAAGATTTGCATATCTCTAGTATACTACTATATAGTATGAGGAATGCTAGACCATTGCAATTATAGCATTTGTGCAGAAATACTACACTTTACATCGCAGACTGAGCCAGCCCAATATTGGAGGACCTTAGTAGAATTTGATATTAGCAGTTAAAATAACAAAAAATATATTTGTTTTTGTGTTAAAAAAAAAAAAAAAAAAAACGAGAGTGCATGCCTTTTAAAAACTGCAGATAACATAATTGCTCTCCAGATTTGCAGAGTTGCTGTGGATGGTAATACTGTGGGCAGTAAAATTCTCCAGTATCAGTCAGTTTTGCGACAAATATGAAGAGGCTTCTGACTGAAATATGTTGCTGTATTGCAGTCTCATGACAGCAACACGCCTTGGATGATGCAATCAGTTGTCGGCAAGCACTGCTAATCCACCTCATTTGCTTTTGTTGCTCTTTTTTAAGTCACTATCTGATTTAAAGAGTGTGTCTCTCTGCCCCAGCAGGTTAGAAAGCCAGGTAGAGACACACACAAAGAAATTATTTTAAAAAAAATCATACATTGTGATTTCTGGATTTTTTATTTTATTTTATTTTATTTTTATTTTTTTCCTTTTAGATTATGTCTTTCACAGTGGAGATGCACCTTAGATGAACATTTCAGACCCCTCTATGATTTCTAAGTGGGAGAACTCGCAAAGTCACAAGGTGTTCTAATACTTATTTTCCTCAGTGTAAATCAACAAATTTCTAACAGGCTTCATTTCTTTCTGCTTTTCGTTCCTAACTAAACCATAGTTTTATTGAGAACATTGCCTCTGGCCTCATCTGCTGCTTTGTTAAAGATGGAACTTAGCTTATCTGTACTTTATTGAATATTTTTATGCTCTTCGAAAGCATTTCCTGCTAAACTAATTAAGCTCATTCACTTGAACTCTTGGCATAGAGTTCCCAATTTAGCTAATATATTTTGTTGTCATGTGAGTTCTTTGCTTTGTGAAACTTGCATCCAGTAATTTGTTTGTTCATTGACACCCATCAACAACATTAGGGAAAACACAGGAAGACACAGAGTGTGACCAACTCAACTTGTCGATTACATTATTATTAGTTTGAAGCAGAATTTGAAACTGAAGCTAAATTTTTCTTAAGTCTTCAGCCTTTGTAATATTCCATACTGGGTTAATTTTTTTTTTTTTTTAATTAGCTAAAAAAAACAAATAATAAAACTGCAATTACTTCACTTTACAGCCTGATTCGGAAATGTGAATTTAGTTTGTGTGATTTCCAAACAGTAAGTGTTTCCTCTTCTTTCCTGTTATGTTTTTCTTCTCAAACTGATTCAGTGCCACTGGGAGATAAGCCACTTACCTCAAACCCTCCCTTCTCCACACGCGGTTAGAGCTGCTGATATTTTGTCGAAACACCTGTGTGAAGTTTGCAAACCCATGTTTAAAACCTGCATATAACCTTACATTTAGATGTTATAATGCATGCCACAGGTCAGTGGCATTGCTTGTAATGTGTCATGTTGGAGAACCTAATGGGCAAATCTGCCAGACACTCCTCCTGCCTCCTCCTGCCTGCTTCTGACTCTGTGTGTGTGTGTGTGTGTGTGCGTGTGTGTGTGTGTGTGTGTGTGCCTGAGTGCCTGACCCTAACTGGCGTGCTCATACATGTGCATGCACACAAACACCCCACCAGTGGAAACACAATCACTCTAACCTCAAATCTCCCCTTAAGATACATGAATAAGGCAGCTTATGTTGCTCAACGTGAGGACAGTGCTTTAAATCCCGACCATAGGGACACGGCTGTGTGCCAGCTCCATGGTAACAAAGTGACAACGAGTGCTCCCCAGAAGACTCAGTGGCATATTGATTATTATGGGATGTGTCTTTGCTAACTGGATTAGGACTTAACACACATCGGTTTTCGATTCAGGAGCTGGCCTGCAGTTATGAATGCTGAATAGAAAAGGTTTTTTTTTCTTTGCCTTCAGAGTGCCTCACTTAAAGGCGAGATAAAACCGGGGACAGTTGGAGTTTGAGATTTATTCTACAGTCAAGCTCCAGGGATGATAAGAAAATTCTTTCTCTGTATAATTCTACTGCGATGCCCTTCACAAGGTCTTCTCAAAGTTTTTTTTTTTTTTGTTAAAACACTTCACATACAGATATTTCAGTTTGCATCCAATTATTGTTCAATTCAAAATTAAACTCCGAATCATGTTTGTAGACTGAGAATGGGGGAAAAAAAAAAAAGATTGCTTTGTTTGTATTGCTATTACTGTCTGGAAAAGGGTCAATGCACCTGCTGGTTGTGTCTAGCCCCATTAGCCTGACTACTTGAGGGGGGGGGGAAGCCCTGCTGCGTTTAGCGGGATGACTGATAGGTTTGCACCTCCCTGCCCTCCCAGGGAAAAAAAAGATGACCACAGTGTGTTTTTTTCTCCCGTCTGTTTGATCCCAATACCAGGACCCTTGTCTACGGCTTCACCAGACTCATGGTGCTTCTGAGACGAGCGGCAGATGGAGAGTTCTCCCTCACTGACTGCCTCCTGTTTGGTGCAATCATGTCAGCCACTGATCCTGGTAGGTGACCTACAGACAAAATCTTCACATAAAAGTTGTTTCCCTTCCTACCGGCAGAACCAATCTGGCTTCACGCAGGTATACTCCACATATCCCACAAAACAAGTGCTTTGTGTGAAAAAGAGGAAATGATTAACTTTAAATATGCAAAACGAAACACTTTTATAAGAAAATCAAGATCTGTAATATGTTGTAACACTTTACACTATATAAATAAGCCATTGAACAAAATTGACTCAAATGCTGTAGGAATAAGCAACAAACAAACAATGAAAACTATAACCTGCAGCAAAATGAGATGCTAAGAGTTCCCAACCGCTGGAGTTAATGTGTCTACCTGTGTTAATGCAATCTTCTTAAAAAAATCTAGTGCAGAAAAAAAGCAGACAGCAAATCTGTTGCAAAAAAATATAGAGCAGATTGCTCTCCTATGTGAATTTCTCTCTGTGTTCTCCAGGACATGTTAAAGCATTATTCAACGAAGTGACTCCGACAATGATGAAGTTCTTGCTGCAGATGAATTATTTATACCAATAAGTGATCTCGGTGAGCATCAAAGGCAGGATTTAAATTGTGGTTCAGTTGAGAGGCAATACTCTTCAATGCCACGCTGTGCTCATTCGTTTTGACCCCAGTGCACTCGTCACTGTGATTAGACTCAAACTGAATGCCTAAAATTGCAAGGCCCATAGGCTCTGTATTGTGCTGTCAAAATATAAAATCCAAACCCCAGACTTTCTGATTTTTAATTCAGCTTTTTAGTGTGCAATCCCACATATGTTAGCTTAAGTTTGTGGCCTTCAAGAAGATGTAACAATTAAGCAATACCGCAAGCTGCATATAATCAGATATTACCCAATTAAAAAAAAAAAAAAAAAACAAGGAATAATTATCTCTTAAACTTTCCCTACATTTTAATGGATGTAGTGGAATTTTATGCAATAGACCATCACAAAGTATTGTGTAATAAAGAAATGGAATGGGGATGAATCATGATTTTAAAACGTAACTGATCTTCTGCAAACGTAAAAAGAGAATCACACAAATGCAAAAAAAAAAAAAAAAAAAAAAAAACAGGACATGGCTGTTCACATAACCGTAACTCTAGAAAAGCTGCAGAGATCCATATTCAGGTGGGAGGATCAGCAGGACAGCTATTCCTGCTCTCGATAAATCTGCTTTTTATGGAAGAGCATCCCACCGGCGTAATGCTTGGCTTAAAATGCAAACTGCAGTTTGAGTACACCAACCTCACAGAGAAACTCTGTATTGACAGCATCATGGTGACGGGAGGATGCTCATAAGTGAGGAGAGGGCTTAAGGAGTTCATGGGAAGAAGAGTTGAGCAACATACTGAAAGTCACCACATTTACGCAGTATGAATACTTCTGCATGGTCTTTTATCTTTACATAATGATTAGTTTAAGGCAATCTATGGTTCTGTAACATCTAGCCTTGATGTTTTAGATTTTCATAAGCTGAACCGCTCGCCGCTTCTCTGAAACTCAGCTATTCAGATTTATTCTTCTTTTCCAGAGTATGTTATGCAGCTTGTGGAGATGTGGATTAAGCATCCCCATTTATTAAAAAGCTCTTAAAACAAATTCATGCAGTTAAAAATGTTTCAATATTTTCCTAGCTTTTGAAAGTTGAACTTTTCTTTTTGACATTTACTATGCGTGAGGCACCTTTGTTTTAAGAGTAAACTGAAATCTAAGAAGCCGATTTTACACTTCTTAAATGTGTGACTGTTGCAAGGCAAAATACTTCTTGCATTCAACTGGAGAAAGATAAGACGACCAAATGAAGATCGTGTTTTATTGTCAGCATTCAAGTCATTAAAAAATGTAAATATTCTTCTAGAGTTCTTTGTGTAATTGCTAGATATAATATGGTAGTATTGTGAAAATGATATAAAAAAAAAAAACTTATGTTATGGTTTAGAGGCCAAATAAATTCTGCCGTCATTTAAAGTGAGATTAAAATAAAGGTAAGTAGGGATTAAGAGGTATCGTTGTATGAGATTTGCAGTTATGAATTAAATTCAGCCACACAGTGAAAATCTTTTATCTTTTTTCAAAATATGTTTCACTCACTTCTTTTCTTAAATGTCTTCTCCCTGCAATTCTCAGCAGAAAACAAGAATACATTTTCAAATCAAATGAACACATATCTACAGTTTTGATTAAACAAAGATAATTAAAATCCTGTCAGTGTTTATTTTTTCTTACCATATATGAAAAATGACAGAGGACTGACAAAGTGAACTGTCTGTATAACTGTCTGTATAAAAATGTTTTTTAATTACTTTTTCGATTTCCTAAAATATTGTGCTGTTGACTTTTATGCAATCAGTAAAGAATAAGCTGATCAGATTCTGTGATGTCTCCTGATAACAAACCAGCCCTCCTCCACCACCAGCATGCAGCCTGGTTTTAGCACAGACATGCACCACAAAACTAGGTCCAGTAGATGAACATTTTTTAACAGACATAAATAATCCATTACTTTAGCCCTGAAACTAATGTGAAGTCAGAGGGGACAGAGTGGTGAGTGGCACAGAGCCATATTATCAGAAAAAAAAAGTTGGGTTTTATTCCTAACTGGCTAGCTAACAGTTAAGTAAGTTTGTTTTTATCTCTCCTTGCACTCATATTATAGAAATGAACAGCTGTATTTATTCATTTATTTCTTTTAGGGTTAGGGGGCAAATGCCTCTTCTTCTACAGTGTTTGTTCACAATAGCATGTCAGTTAAAATGATTTATTAAAATAATAATGAAGTCTCCAAACACTTAAGGTACCATAGAAAGTGAGTATCTCTACAGAATTCTCATGTCATCTTAAATACTAACCAGGATTACTGCAAATAAACACATAAATCAATCTGAATGTTCACAAGACAACTGCTCGTTCAGCTGCACTCCCTGGGGCGTTTTCCTGATTTGGTGACACATACATGTCATCAGTTTGCCATGTAAAACCATTAACCTTGACCAAATTGCTTCCAGTCTGTCTCTGAATAAAACCTTTTTCAGGTTCACCTCATTTCTTACTTTTAAGCACAAAATAATAAGCTCTAAAACGGCCTTAAGCAAGTTTTCAGATACTTTAGCTTTCTTGACATATGTTTTTGCATTTTCTTCAAAACCAGTGCCTGTTTAGTTTATGATAAAAGATTCTTCTTTGGTTAAGAATAAACATAACATTGAAAATGGTTCATAGGGGAGAATTAATACCTTAAATATTTTGTTGGCAGTAGGAGCAAACACACATTTAAATCTGCTTTAAATGTCATGGAAAGCCTGCTTTGATGCTCCTTTTCAGTATGCATCATTCAATTTTACGAAATGACCAGTTTTCTACTCAGTCTAAATGTTCGTCCCTGATTTAAATATAGGACCAATAGTTTGGATCAAAAAGTGGGAGGCCTGCTGTGCTGCATTTCTAGCTGCAGGGGTGGTTACTAAAGGTCGGTGAAATTCTCACTTAACATGAGTATTTTGCAGTTCTACGGTCCTTCCTTTCATCTTAGAGTTCATATTTTTGTAGTTCTCCTCACATGAAAGAGAGCACACACACACACATATATATATATATATATATATATATATATATATATATATATATATATATATTATTATTATTATTTATTTTTTTTTTGTCTGGGCACTGCAGACTTTAAAATAATGCCAGATGGTAACATTTTTGTAGTTTTCCTTCTCGGTTATTACTCATTGAAATAGATTTTTGTTTTGTTTGTCAACAGACAATCATCCCAAACCCAGTGCACAGCTGGCCAAAAAAACAAAAGAAGAAAAGGATTAGATCCTTAAACTTTCTAAAAATTCATGGAGTGTGTTAAAAAGCTAAGCCAGTGCCAGGACACCAACCAATTAAAATGAGCTCCACCATTTCTGCCAGCTCTTTTAATCTGCCAGGAGACTGCCAGAAGCTTCTTAATGGCATCTAGGAGTGTATAGTTTCCCTGCAACTTGCTAAGGAGCAGTTAGCAAGATAATATTGAGAGTATATCTATACTTCCATGCACCCCATGGATTAGATAATGTCAGTAGTTGAACGAAACTGTACAGCCACTCCAGTTTGAATAAAAAACATCAAAATGTTCCCAATAATTAGAGAATGTAATTTTTTTTTTGTCAGAGCTGTAATTTATTCAGGGCTAGTGACTTTCTAAAACTTGGTATTAAAAAGCATTGAATCTGGTAATAAGTCCATGGCACAGTTTTAATTAAGGAGAGGTACAAATATTCTTTCCTTCTTTAAAACTTTAGTGTGGCCACAAAACATAAACTACACCAGATCAGGCTTCAAAAACTCTGACCCAAAAGTTACTTTGATCAAAATTCACAATATAAATTTATTGCATTGCAATAAAGATTTAGAGACTTTGTTTTTGTAAGGTGATCAGTTAGTATGGGTCATCACTTACAAATCCTCCCTGCGTTCCCACACTGAACTCACTAACCGTTGACCATTGCCGTTATGGCATTGATTTTCCAAAAATGCTTCCATCAAATATACATGAAAAAAAATAATCTTTGATGTAACCTCTTCTGAAGTTGTAAGATGATTGCCTATCAGAAATCTTAAAAGCTTGTATTTATGTCTTTACCACTCAGCGCTTCACACGTTATAGCAGTTTTTCTCCACTGTTTATTTTGAATCACTTTCAGCATCGTCTGCCTAATTTACTCAAGTAAACAAGCAGATCCTCTGCTTTTTTGCTTCACGTTGTCACAATCTTTGTCTCCGCTAAACGTCTGCATCCGGGATAATTTGACCTGATAAGACTTCTTTCGACCCGCTCAGCTGTGTTATGTTGGAGATAATTGTATACTGTCTACCTTATGGTGTTGCTGTGGAAACTGACAAACACTTGACAGCTGTAGGACTGGTTGCCATGACTACGCTGCCACCCTCCTTGTGTGAGAGGAGATGATAGTTTTTTTTTTTTAGTTTTTTTTTCTCGTCGCCGTCTTCTTGTTTTTGTCTAGCAGCGTAAGTGTTACACAACATGCTCGCACCCGTTAGGCATTATGGGAGCGGGAAGATGGAACAATCCTTACTCCAGGCCCTGAACTCAGAAGAACTCCAAGCCCATCAAAGACCAAAGAGCCAGATCTGTCAAAATATGTCTGGAGGCAGTTGTCTCGCTATTGTCAATCTGCTCATTTCCTGTCTTCCTTGCCCCTCGCTGGCCTGTCATTTCCCACAGGGCCAAACATTACTGTTAGAACTGACTCTTTATTCAGATCACAAACTTCACTAAGGCTAATTCTGTGGATTACTTATGCACTATGGTCCCATCAAATTGGATCTGAATCCACTTGGAGCCTATTTCATCTTGAAAATCACATTATATATTGCTAGCATGGTACTATAGTAGGTCACATGCATCTGCATCGAATGTGATGGTAGTGTGAAATGTAATATTACATTATTTGTGTCACAAAACTTCCATTAAAGGATATATTTTACAGTCGATGCATTGTAGAAGATTAACCAACTTTTTGTGAAGTGTACAGGCAAGTCTAATTAGGGTCAAGATGCCTTCTGAAACATTTAGATCACCCTGTGATGCAGAAGAGCTTATAGCATCCACAAGCACAACTGGCGAAATGTGTCAAAAGCCTGTTTTTTAAATGTATTTTAAGTTCTCATGTCTTTGAAGAATGTTTGTATTTTTCCCTGCACATCAAAACACCGGTAGAATGAACCTAGCATTCGGCATCTTAAAGACTTCATGACACTCTGGTAGCATTTGCTTTCATATCCTGGGTCTTCTGAGTCAATGCAAAATGATCTTCGTCGTGTGGTGAAAAAAAGGTAGAGTGATCATATTTTCACAATTTTGGCAAATGGAAACCACAAACATCAATGTATTGTACTGGCATCTAGACTAATTCTTATATTGAATTAAAATGAGACACAGCTTTTGATTTATTGCTTCTATATTTTTTTTTTGTTGTTGGCAAAACCTGTTTGTACTCCCAACAACCATAAATGACATCCCTTGCATCTACCTTTCCACTGTGTGTAGTTTGATATCAGTGCAATTATAGATGTTCTTTAAAAACTAAAGAACACAGGTGAAGGATAAAATTGTGAAGAAGTTTAAGTCATGACTAGGTTATAAGACGGTATGCCTAATTTTAAATATTTCTGAACATGGGAAGATAAGATAGTGGTAAAACCTTCGAAAACTTGGCTATCCACCTGCACTGGCATTCCAGGCAGGGAGAAGGTCCTCTTTATAATTTACATCTAGAAAGCTACCGATACCTAACATCATTATTCAAGACACACCCATGTGGGGAATTTCAAATGTGGCCCATGAATGTTAAGCAGTGAGTGCATCTTATCAAAGCAGGGAGTTGATTGCCAGCAGTTCATCCACATCAAGTTGTAATTAACTTTTTCTGCATGTTTTAATCAGCTGATTCTGAAGATCAAGCCTCCCTTCCCTCTTCCTCTAGCAGCATCCGTTCATTCCAAGACTGCTAGTTGTTGTATAGAACACATGTATATTTATGTTTTGCAAGTAGCACCGGAATGTAGAACAGAAACCTGTACTGCTCTCATGATAAGAAAAGTGTAATATGCTGTGTGTTCAGGATAAACACGATCAGAACATCTGTTGTTTTGCAGTTGCACTTTGTGACCAGTAGGTTTAGTTTTATTGCATTTCTAGTTATGTGCTCTAACATCCAAACATATTTGAAACATTGACAAAGGACTATTAACATGCAACCATGATATTATTTTTGAGAAATGAACATAAATCAGCCACAAACAGCATTCATTAGCAATGCTAAGCCTTAAGTGTTTTGTTCACACAGCAGATCTTGATGCACAATTCCAATTTGTTGCTGAACTCCTTTTTTTTGTTTGTTTGCATGGTCGTACATACTGTTATTAGTTTTACAAAGCATGCCATTCAAGTAAGATAAATAAGGATAAAAAAATACTCCAGATAACATATTTGTCAACCTTCACCAAGAGTACCTTTATGTAAAACAAATATATAAATAAAAGGAAAAAAGTTCCCAGAGCTGCAAATCAGTTGAGTTGAACTTATATATGCAGAATATATATATATATTATTAATTATATACAATTATAGATTCTATTTGTGAGTAGGTTTTAATGTCAACATTAAAGAATAAGCTGACCAAATTCATCAAGAGGTACTATAAGAGAATAACTGATTCAACCATTTAATTTCTCGGTACTTTAACATAATTACTAGACTTTATGATAGAACGTGTTTTTCTTTTAACTTTGCCTGAACACAATTTGCTTTGTTAGTGTTTCAGACAACTTCTCTTTCCTTATCACGGTGATTTCACATTTCCCATTAGGTTTTATTGTCACATTGTGATGTTACCGCCCTTGCTCTTCTCTGCTTATTGCAGTAGAGATCCCGAATTACGCTGCGTCTTTGCAGAGTAATTTAGTTAATTACTTTTTCTCTTTACGCTTGTGTTGTTTTAGCGTCCTGCAGTCTTTAAGGGCAGCTTCTGTTTTGTTTGTTTGTCTTTTTTTAAAGTCTCAGTCCTCGGGCTATTGTCGGACCTACGTGTGGACTCGGATTTGCACGCCCTGCTGTTTGGCGAGAGCGTCCTTAATGATGCCGTGGCCATTGTCTTGACACAGTAAGTATCTCTCTGTGTTCCTCTTTGCCCTTTGAATGAGTAAGTTTTCCAGTTTAATTGTGTGGGTGTGAGGAATTCGCCAGCTGGCAGCGTGGAGGCGGACTCGTAGCGATGGAGGAAAACTGAATGGAAGCTGCCAGCTGTACAGGAAAGGTGTGATTGGGTAAAGCAGCATGACCGTCTTGACGGTGCGCAGTGGGCTATAAAGCAAGTTGCCTCTAGCGATGTCAGCATCTCATTAAAGAAGTCAGCTCCTGGAGTTACAACACACTCCCAGGATAACACACCAGGCTTCTAGCCTGTATGTGCTATCAGGCTAAACTCAGCATAAAATCAGTGGAAGCTCAATGGATTATCCATTATAAACTTGCCCCTTGTCCATGCAGTACAATCCTCTCATTGTTTTCTGTCTGCTGTCCCATCTTTCTCTTGCACTGCTCTCAAATATACATTCAGATTTTGCCCAGGGACTGTCTGGTATATTTATACAAAGCCAGTCTTAAAGATGAGCAAACAGATGGCCAATTGGAGATAGAAAGAGTTCAAAATTTACATACAGAGAAGTATAAAATTAATGCAATCCACTTGGATTATTGCACATAATGAGTCGTCACGGTATACACTGCAGAGCACTGCATGGAGCCTGAGCATCCTCCCAGACAAAGCTGCATAGTGCCACATTTGTTCATAAAGTGGCGTGACTGTCCCTCATGCTGCCTCCCATCACTTGACTGCCTCGCTGAGGCTCCACCACACAAAGCTGGACCTTTTTACCGAGTCATGTCGATTCCTGGCACCGGATTGCTAACAAGCTCGGGAAGCAGCTCAGCCGTACACTGATGTACCCTCTCCCAGGCGCGTTACCACTCCCACCCATACCGCCACTCAGGCAGGTCTGGCATTTAAAAATGTCGAGATTGTGGCCGAAAGCGAGCAGCACCAAACCATTGAACACGCAGTCTTTAGTAATGCACGCTAAAGAAATTGACTTGTGGCTAAATTAAGTGTGCTAGCGCAATCGGAGTCTTTATTTCCACAGAGGGGGTAATAGATTTTCTCTTTTCATTTGCAGAGCTCATTAGTGACAACTTGATCGATTTCTCCCCTCCTGCCATGGAGATGAAAAATGCTGTGCTGTTACTGGCTCATTTCAACTTTAAGCTACTAGTCAGACCTTTCTGTAAAATGTATAAAATCAATCAAACCCATTTTAGGTACTCTTTGTCTCTTTTAAAATAACACAGCATGGTAAGATTTTGTATTTGTTTGGCTGTTAAGCTGTAAATGTATTGAAGGAATGTAAAAATCAACCCTCTCAAAACAAAGCTACATGCATATTCCTCTGATAACTTTACAGAAGCCTTAAACTAACTGAACGATATTTTAGACTTGATTTTTCCTTTTCCCCCTCTCTTTTTTACATGGTTTTAACTAAATTCCTTATTCACAAATGTCTACTTGTATGTATGACCGCCCCAAAATGATTAAGCCATATGCGAAAACACCACACAGGTGTTTTAAGGAAAACTTGATTAAATAAACCATCCTACTCAGGATTTACGGAACATAAAAAACAAAGTTTCTGATGTTTTTGGAAAGCTCTGACCACCCAGTGCAAGTTGTAAGTGAGTCAGACAGATTTCTCTTCAAGAAATGGAAGGATATGAGAAGAGCAGTCAAAATATACAGAATCTAGCTCTCTAACTTTATGTGATGCAGAAAGAATACGGCATTAAAAATGAACACGAAACAATCAGACAGAAAATTTCAAAAAGGAATGAAGTAGAATTTTTCTCCAAGTTGAAGCTTTGAAGGTTGTTCTCTATGCCACACACAGCAGCAGCACTTATGACTTGGGGGACATCAGAGTGAAACTTTGACTTTAATGCTTTAGCTTGAAATATATTGCTACTGAAATGCTTCAGAATTAACCTATTTTTTTTTTATTTTTTTTTATGATTCAGTCATCAGCCTAACACCAATGTCAGCAAATGTAACTCAAATACAAACAAAGCAGTGTTAGTTTCCTCATTGTAGTTTTATGAATTCCTGCAGCAGAAATCCATACTTCATTACTTGCTTACGTTTTTGTTGTTGGCATACATTTGTCATAATAAAAAAAAAAATAATAATACACCACAAAAAAAATCCTGTATACATACTCATCTATCTTTAAGACTCTTTGTACTGTACAGATTTTTGTGATCAGTAATATGAGACCTTTTGTGAGTTTTAGCTAACTCAGAGTCCCAACAGTGTTGCTATATGTGGTCTGCTGTGGTTAATGTAATCATGTCATTCCACAAATGCAGCCGCCTCTGTCGGTTACTAGCATGGCTGCTTGTCCCTGCGTGCTTCACAGCTGTCGCCTCCTTTCCTCTCATACACACACACGCACACACACACCCACACACACACACACGCACACCCACACAGTCAATCAGATAATTTCTCTTTCCCTCCTTCTTGCCTGCGAGGGTTATTTTGCACTTGGTGACTTGCATGTTGAAGTCCCCCATCACTCCAACAGAGTAAATGTGATAGGAGCACGTATAACGTTATGCTGCTATTTTTATGATCAGCAGCAGTGTCCCCTCTCCTCTTTCCAACACTGCTCTGTTTGTGAGGGAAATCATCTGGAATGTGTTGTTTTCCTGAAGCAGATTATTCTTCCTTAGAAGGCCATGTGTATGTAGAAGTGACTGCAGGAAACTGAAGTTGGAGGGCTTTGCTCAGCATGTTAACATTGGAAATGTATGCTCTCTGCTGCAGACTGCTTCACACCTAGAGACTATCGAGTCATTTTTCTAATAATGGTACTTGACTCAGACCAATAAACTATATTTTTACATTATAATAGAGCATTTACAAAACCATATTTTACAGTACCTTGATAAACTTTGACTTTTACATGTCTTTTCACGTTAAATCCATAAGCTCCTCTGTGTTTTTAGCCAATCTTATGTGATAGACTAAAATGACTGTAGCTCAGTTATTTGAAGAAACAAAGAATAGTGTCTGGGCCAATCTCACACATGATTGATCAAAACTAGCAGTGTCAAATGCAATCACAGAAGGAGCCAAAACATGAAACACGGACAATGTCACTGGGAGATTTAATTAAAAATTATTTTTAGACAAGCAAGTCAAGCAAGAAGCTTGTTTCTAATCAATGGAAAGCTTTAAATTCCTCTAGGTGGCAAGTTAATGATGACCCAAAGTTCTAGCTCCATCTTTATTTCTCTTGTTTACTGACAAAGTTGAACCCAGAAATTTACATACACAGAATAAAAAGACACACACTGCTTGAAGTTAAATCAGACCAAATGTTTCTTGGTTTAGCTTAGTTAGAATTACCAAAATCATTTCTATTTGCTAGAAAGCCAGAAAATTAGGCAAGGACATTTTTTAGTAGTTTGTAATTACTTGGCAATCCAGAAAGTGCCATAAGCTTTCTTGTTGTATCTAACTCCCAGAAAGTGAAGCTTGTGCAGCACTGTCTTCAGCTGAAGTAGCCGTTGCAGTGTGCTTATAAAATATGTGGTGTTATCGGGGAGCACTATGTAACCTTGTGGTGGGCTCTGATATTTGGTCAATGAAATAATCTCACTGCCCAGATTTGGCCTGTGAGCTTTGACCTCGGCGTCTGATCCAAGTCCTTCGATTGTAGCTCTCAGGCTGAATTATTTTGCTCATTGTCCTGCTTGAAGATGAACATTTGACCCAGATTGAACTCCTCTGCTGCCTCTCACAGGATTTCATCTTGGATAGCGCTGGACTTACAAATCCAGTTACAAATAGAGGTCAGAAGTAGATGTACTCAACTTGCTAATTAGGTAACTTCTCCAGGCAAGTGGTGGAACTCTATTACATTTTGGGGCATGGCAGTGAAATGGAGTGAATACAAATTCACAGCACACCTTTTAAGAGTTTAATTGGTAAACTCTGCAGACAGAAACCACTTATGCATTAGTTTCTGTTAGTCTACCACCACATAAAATCCCATTCAATTAAATTGAAGTTTGTGGGGGAAAAAAAACACAAAAAGTTCAATACTTTTTCACTGGTTTAATTTCTCCTCGCATCTTTTTTTTTTTTCTCCCAGTGCCATCGCCTCCTATGACCAGATGGAAACAGGAAACGTCTTTCAGACACCTGCCTTCTTTCGCTCTGTTGGTTTCTTCGTCGGAGTGCTCATTGGCTCCTTCCTCCTTGGATTCATATTCACAGTAATAACAGCCCTCATATCCTTTCATCCCCTCCTCTTCCCTCCACCCCAGACTCAATTATCACCTCGGCATCCGCTGCAGTAAATCTACTTCCTCGGCTCTGTAACTGCCCCCCACTTCCCTCCTAACTAACCCAATGCTGCACCCCTTCATCAGCAAAAGTAACAGGATGAGGTCTGAAGTGCTGCTGTGGGTTTGATGGTCTCAGAGATGTCGTGAATCACACCAAAAGCGTTTGATGAAATTTCGACTGGCGAGGTTGTCCTGCGTCTTTCTCTCTCTGACGTTAGTTAATTAGACTTTAGAGTGAAAAATGAGGAAGTGTCAAGTGGGGTCCTCATTTCTTATGTAAAGGGACTGGTGTTTATGTGCAGGCAACCAACAAATTGAACTTTTTATTAAAATTTTGCTGACAGCAGCCATAGCAACAAATCGCTCCCTTCATGCCCTCCGTTCAAACACAAGGTCCTTATAGACTGCTTATGGCAAACATAAAGTCATTAGCACATCCATATGTTTTCTTTTTAATGCTATGAGGCATCATGAGGGAAATAAGCAGTTAGCATCTTGTTGTAGTCTCAATAACAGAGATCCCAGCCTGGGTTGCGTTTAACAAGGAAACGTAAGGAGCTCATCTTTGAGATTTAATTGTGAGACCTGAAGGAAGCTTCGTCATTAACATAATAGTTGCTGCAGATGTAGTTACTTAAAGCCCCTCATTATTGCCAGCTTCCTACCTTCTCTTTTAGACTGCACCCATCTGTACTATGCCTACGCTGAGACACCCTCACAGGTGTGTCGTTTCCTGTATCTCACTATAACCTGAAAAGCTGTTCTGTTTTACACGTTACACTCAGATCTGACACGGAAAAGGAACAGTATTCGCAAAGCAAAGCTTAAGCTTAAGCTTTCATCAGCTTGCCAGGGAGGTTTTATTGTATTTATAGTGACATGACAAGTGTTGATGTGGTGGAAGAAAATCCCTCTTGATTTGATGACATAAAGTTTTAAACTGTATATTCTGATTTTTTCCAGTAGAGAAGTAATGATAAAATCTCATCTGCAAATGAAGAGCTCGGAATACTCACATATTTATGTAATTAGTTGAAACACTGGGTTTTGGGAAACCCGGTGTTTGCTTCTGTGAACAAACAAACACATAGTTGGTCAGGAAACTTAGATGCAGCATATGTGGGAAAGTGATTTAAAGAAGGGGAAAAAATTTCTCATTCAGGCCCGGTTCTTATTGTATATGGCAGGTCTCCAGGCTTATTTAGCACCTACTGCATTGGCTTATTTGTAGGTATAGCACTGCAGTAATTCTCAGCCTCCTGTCTGCGGCATTGGAACGTACATGTACAACTTTGTACTGCAGATGCACCAGAAACTGTAGCTTATTGGAAAAGGTGTAAAAAACTGCATGATTATCATCTTGTAAATCTTTAACACTCTCTCCACCTCACCAAACTCACCCGACTCCATGAGAGTCCTCTGCTGGAAACATCAATCTTCTTCCTGCTATCCTGGAGCAGCTTCCTCTCAGCAGAAGCCTGCGGACTGTCAGGTGAGCGTTTCTTCACTTCTGCTACTCGTGTGTCTGTGGCCATATCAGAACTGTGTTGGTGGCTGACTGCTGAATAAAAATCCTTTCAGTGAGTCTCAGCCTTCATCACCTCCTCCTAACCACATCCCCCTGTCCCTTCCCCCAGTCATCACTTCTAAGCTGCATGCGCTAACTTGCATGCGACCCCTCAGCAATCGGCCGCACAGGCAGCTGTTTGGTTGGCATGTCCTGCTGCCGCATCAAGGGGAAATCTGACAGTGCATACTCAAAGGTTTAGAGACGGTGCCAACTTTATAAATCTCCAGTCCAAATCAGAGTCACTTCTCTTCATGGCAACCTCGTTTTTTTTAATACAGCAGCCTGCACTGTGCCTATTATACCTCTCTGCAATAAAACCTTGATGTATTTTACTGGGATTTCATGTGACAGACCAAAACGTAGTAGTACATAAAATAATTCTTATTCTAATGTATTCACAGATTATTTCTGTCTGCAGTGTCTTGGTGGGTTTGCAATGTACCAATACTCTGTTTTTGTTCGAAAGATGGGCAATTGTATTTAACGTATCCCTGCTGTGCTCTGTCTGGCATGTTTCTTTGACAGGTTTCATGATGCTTTTTGCTCACTGGTGTTCTCTAAAAAGCCTCTGAGCCCTTTAAGAACAGCTGGATTTTACACTGAGATATTACACACAGCTGCACTATATTTATCAAATATAGCCGTCTTCTATAAGGCTCCACTTGATTTCATTTAAGGCAGAGATTAAAAGCATCCCCTACTTCTCAGATTTTTATTTGTGAAAAATTTCAAGAAGGATGAATGAATTTGTAAGGTACTGTGTAAAAATGAATCACTCAAAAATTCTTGGATTATTGGAAAACTACATCACACATTCTAGTCTTCATGGAAATGCACTTATCTTCGTTGTGGTCAAGTACATATAAATGTAATAATTTAACACCAGTTTTGTTCTGAATGTTAATGCAAGTTTTCCTCAGAATCTACTCTAATGCAAATTTGATTTAGTTTAGTGAGAGACATTGGAACAATATGTCATTCTGCTTTGGAATTGTTAGTGTGTTGCATTTCGAAGAATAAGTCTTGGCTTTGTTGCCTGATATCGTCTTCCTCTACGCTGATCACAATGATGGGGCTTTAGAATATTAATTTAGCATTTGTATTCAACAAACACTGTGGTTTTGTTCCTCCTGCCGTGGTTTTATCAGAGGGATACCACTGAATTAGCTGACAAGCTCGCTCTGGCCTGGCAGTTAGTCTCTGTGGCCTGTGGAGGAAGAGAAGATGGTTTCTAATGAAATAGCTTGACCTTTATCCATTTGGCCCTGTTTGTGAAGAGCACCATCCTGCATACTGCCCAATGTGGTACATACACCATACACACACACACTGCAGAAACACACGTTATGTCGGTGGTTCTTATAATGCTTCTTAAGATCTGAAGTAATTCTGCATTGAAGAAGAGAATGTAAATTTTATTAGGTGTTTTTTTTTTTTTTTCCCCACCACTACAAACTGGGGAAACTACTCTGTCCTTGTTAATGAGCTTAATGTAATAGTCATCTCAGAGGGCTGTAGAGGCTCTATCTTGTTCTCAGGATGAATAAGCATGAGTTGAGTGGGAGCTGGTTGTTCTCCCTGGTGTTGTCTGGTTATTGAAGCACTTTACTGTTTCCGATAATTGCTTCAGTTTAGGGGGAGGGTGATACCTAATGACCCTTAACTCTACAATTATTAATCTTACACCCTTTGCAGCTCCTTATTATAGGATACATGTAATCCATTTCCAAATTCCCTCCCTGCTTTTTTGTAGATAGTGGATGAAATGTTACTCCGTCAGTGTTAAATAAACCAATGAGAATGGTAAACTAAAAAGGACCAAGAATCAAAGCCAAATTCTGGTTGAAAGCGCATTCTGAGCACGGGTCGCTGAAAGTAGCATACAGCGGCAGGTCAGTGTGTAATGATTTTATGGTTGCTGGTAAATAGAGAGTATTTGTCCAGCTGTGGTGATGTGCTATTTGCTCTGTTGGTGCTTTTATTGCACACATCTCGGCCGGTGCAAGTGTTGCTCCCTATCAGAGTAAATTCGCGTGATTCATTTTTATGCGATTCTCCCTCAAAGAAGAGAGATGGAAAAAAAAAAAAGTATGAAATTCAATCCCTGCAACAAAACAAGCATGTCCTGTGAAGCAGCAACCTTCTTTCTGTGTGACACGCTTCAGATTTCTGTTCACCGACAGGGGCTCTCTGAGTGAAACCACATATTTTTTTATAAACCTTGTACTGCACTTGTTTTTTCTTTCTCTTTTGTCTTTCTTTGTTTGTTCATGTCTGTTTACGACTTATCGAACAAGGAACCAGTATTTAACTTCAATGTGTATCACTGGACAAACTCTAGGTTATTAAACAATATGTCAAACTTTAAACATTTCACAGAGCTGTTCAATCCATTATCTCAAAATGAGAGAGTATGGTACAGATGCAAACCTTTCAAGACATGATCTTTGATTTAAACTGACAGACAAGGAGCGTATTGATGAGAGAAGCATCAAGGATGCAGGTAGTAACTTTAAAGGGGCCACAAGTCATTTATTGGACAAAGCAAAGGAAATGAGATGCTGTGGTCAGATGTACCAGGGTGGCACACTTCTAGGTTTTTTTTTTTTTTTTTTTTTTTTTTTTTCCAAAATTTTTTTAATCCTTTTTTTTTTTTTTTTAATTTTTTAATTTT